GTAGCAATAACTGATATCTGGTATTAAAGTTATTAAACATATAGAATTATGATGAATATAGAAGATAAATCTTTAGCTTCAATATAAAAAACATAAGGAAAATACAATTATAGGTATTACATAGAAAAACAAAAATAAAGAAATTTTTCATACTTCAAACAATACATTGTAAAATTTAAAGGTTCAATTTTACATCGAAATCACGACAAATAACGTATAGAAAAGTCCGGGTATAATTCCACATATTGATTTACCTACGTTATAAGTCTTAACAACAATTGTGATTCGTTTTACATTGCTACGATGGTTAATTTCTGAGGGAAAACCTATTGAATAATTTTTTCTTATTAATGTTATGCATTCTAAGAATTAATATTTTGTTATGTGTAATAGTTTATATTCTGTAACAAAATCTATGTCATGAGCGACTGTGGTATACAGATAAAAGTAAAATCGGTTCTCGCTAGCCGATCTTGGTCAACAGTTAAAAAAGTAATCCAATTTAACTTTACATGCTTTTAGATATGGTGGCTAGTTTCGTATTTGTGTTTTTTTTTGTCTTTATTGTTCTTATTGTACAACTCACGAATAAATTATTTCATTATACAATATAATTTAAAGCTTCGTGGGTTCGAATCCCCGTCCCATCAAACATGCTCGCCCTTTCAGCCGTGGGGCGTTATAATGTGACAGTCAATCCCACTAATCCTTGGTAAAAGAGTAGCCCAAGAGTTGGCGGTGGGTGGTGATGACTAGTTGCCTTCCCTCCGGTCTTACACTGCTAAATTAGGTACGGCTAGCGCAGATAACTCTTTGCGCGAAATTAAAAAACACAAAAAAATTAAAGCTGTTTAACCTTCTACCTAGACCTAACTCTCAGGAGTTCTTAACCTTCAAGTTGTATAAATTGTAAATTGAAAGATAAAGGTTGACATTAAACAAGAAAACTCATAACATGACAGCTAGTATTTTTCATTTTCTAGCATTGTCAGCACACCTGGGCCAAATCAGAAGTCACACGATTGAGCTTTATGCGTTTTTTAGGTATGGGAATCGGTTTAGTGTAGTTTTTCTATATACACATACACCATTATATTACGAACTGTATTATATTCGAACATTTTGAAAGTATGTTAAAACTGGAAGTTTAAGATTTTTTGTCATTATAATAGAATGATCAAAGCGACATTTGTTCGTTCTCAACATCCTAAAATATAATGCCCTAGTACTTATAAATATCAACTACTCAGAATACCTGTCCATCTTCAGATTTCTTCGTTTCGGAAATATATTCATAGTTCTTAAAATGAATCCATAGTGTATACAATGTGAAACGAATTACCAAAAACCAGATATATTCGAATTCCTTTTTACTAAGATTGTTCAAGTGGTATAATTATGAAATATTACATAAACACAAAGATAAAGACTGTACCAATTACAAATAATGTTTAGCTCCAATGATACAGCATTGTCATTTCAAATGGTATACATGAATAAAGGTATGCATTAAATGAACTTATGACATATTTATCCTAAGAAACTGTACAACGTACGACTTTTCAAAAGATATCGATAGGGAACAATACATAGTGCATTCATAAATATCATTATAACTTATCTTTGTTTGTCTTGTTTTTGCTACTAGTTTCTATAACTTATATCTTTGTTTGTCTTGTTTTTGCTACTAGTTTCTATAACTTATATCTTTGTTTGTCTTGTTTTTGCTACTAGTTTCTAAAAGTCATAATTTGTAAAATTTCTTTTTCAAAGAAGGAAAAGAGGAAAATAAAATTGAATATGAATAGGAAAAATGAAGTCGTATATAGATTTCCATGAATGTCAATAGCAAATGATCGACTTATTGTATTTTAGGACCTTTATACTTAAACTATGAATATTCCTTTATTTAGAATTGTAGCTAACATAAATGCTGGTTGATTTAATAAGTTGTGTTTCTGATTTAGATTTCTTTCGTTCAAGTTGAGCTATCAGTTTACTCTCAAGTCTCCTTCCGTAAAGGATTTTTAAGATGAATATTCTGAACTTCAACTCAATATCCATTTGCTGTACACGAGCAATGAGTTAATGAGTTAGACTCTAGTAAATATATTAGCTTACCTCGAGAAGAGATCTAGAAAGGAAAACTTGCTGCTGTACTGAAATTGAATCTGAGTTTCAAGAGGATCAGGAGACCAGTTCCGAACTGGAGTTCTGCAAGTTGCCAGCTGTCTACAAGCCTTAGTGCGCTCAAGCCTTTGAAGAGTAGTTGAACCGTACGTAGGCGGGAAGGTTGATCACGATTGGCTAGAACTGTGTGAAGTTTAATAACCAACTTTCTATAATCATGTGATGTTTCTAAGTTCCTTTATTGGCTAGCCACCACGAAACCCAAGTTCTCCAGGTTAAGATGGAATATGCCAACTCTCAAATGTTAAATTTAAACATCCAGCAAACAAGGTGAGACTTGTTGGAGTTACAGAAGAAGTTACTCATCTCTTTGCCAAAAGTTGTGAAGCTAGACTATGGGTCTAATTTGAATAAGTTAGATTTACCTTTTGTTCTATCTGAGATCTGGAATCTTTTATTGAAAGGTTTAAAGGTATATAATTAATGCGTTTAAAAAGCATACTTTAAACTAGAAGACGCGAAAAAAAATCTCCATGTGGCCTAGAATAAAACAAATATTTTGCTCAAATATGTGTTTATTTTAAATATTCTATTAGTGAGCTCTTGGATAATTTTTAGTATTTTATTGTTTGTTTTGAATTTCGCGCAAAGCTACACGAGGGCTATTTGCGCTAGCCGTCCCTAATTTAGCAGTGTAAGACTAGAAGAAAGACAGCTAGTCATCACCACCCACCCCCAACTCTTGTGCTACTCATTTACCAACGAATAGTTGGATTGACCGCCACATTATAACGCCCCCACGACTGAAAGGGCGAGTATGTTTGGTGGGACGGGGATTCGAACCCGCGACTCTCAGATTGCGAGTCGAGTGCCCTAACCACCTGGCCATGCCGGGGCCAATTCTTAGTAATGTACACAGAATTGAAAATACGTTGCTACAGTCAACGGTTTTGTTTGTGAGAGGCTCAGGTCTACTTTGGAAAGTAATTCATATTGCTATAAGGTTAGGAAATATAAGATAACGTATCTTTATGAAAGAACATTATGCGCTTACGAGGAAGTCCAATCACACTGCAAAAATACAGCAATGCTAATATTTGATGTTGAAAACGGCATTTTGGGAATTTATCAAAATTAAGATAATCAAATTAATCAGAAATCTATCATACACTCCTTGACACAAGAAGATGGTAACCAACACTGTAAAGCGAGTGAAAACTTAAACTAGAACTTTTTTCAAGTTAAATTTGACTTAAAGTTTTTGGAACTAGTTCCAAATTTGTTTTACGTAGAAGGAGCAAATAAACATATTAATAACATAAGCAATATAAAGTTGAAACGAGTGTGGCTACCTTAATGATACACATATATATATATACTATTTTAAAGTGAGAAACAACTTATTCGGTTAACATTTTGTATATTTATGTAGATTATGTTGATTTTTACCATTTAACTATAGTGAGAGCGTAACTTATTAGCGTCTCCGTACCCTTTGTTATCTTTATAAATAAGTTAAGATTGATCATGATAGGTGTAGAATCATCACCATTATTCCTCCATGATTAATATCTTTTTTTATTATTCTGTTATTTGCTATTTGACTTAGTAAGGGACACAAGTAGTTGGGTTAAATATCCTGTGCCAATCATAATTTAGTTTAGTTAGTTAATTATATTTTAACTTTTATTGGACGAGATTATTGAAACTATGCATACACCTTAAAACCCATTACACTAAAACATTCAATCTCAATTAATAGTTCTCCAGTGGCTCAACGGTAAATCTGAGTACTTATAACGGTAAAAAAACGGAGTTCGACATTTGCATGGACAGAACACAGATAGTCCTTTGTGTAGCTATGTGCATAACAACAAACAGACAAGTAAATATACTAATACGTGTTCTACTACTGTATATTAGACTTTTCTATATGAACCACATTAGCTTACCCTAGTCGATTCGGTATTATAGTTTTTACAGTAGGGGTTTTATTACATGTGTCCACCTTGCAACGGATTAAGTATTTTTTAGATTTTGAGCGCTGAATAAATATTGAAGAAAACGTTTCTCGAAAATAAATTATTTCATTTTTTTTCTCTCTCTCTATTTTAACATTACCTCTCTAGCACTTGAAACTCATGAAAGAATCTAGCAAGCATTTATTGGACGAAGATTGTTTTTGTTTGTTTGTTATGAATTTCGCGCAAAGCTACACGAGGGCTATCTGCGCTAGTCGTCCCTA